TGTTGCTGTTGAAGAGTCTGTGTTAGCATTTGTTGCTGTAATTGCTGTGGTTGTGAATTTTGTAATTGTTGAGGTAGTAAAGTTTGTGCTTGTTGTGACTGTTGTTGAGCGACTTGAGGTTGTTGCGATGGCGTAGCACTCCTTTGTGTCTGTTGCTGCTGCCGTATGTGAGCGTTTCGTGATATTTTATTAGTTAACTCCCGTAACCTCGCTCCAATCAGTTGGTTGTATTCATCCTTGGAATTTGCACTATTATAAGAATCATTTTCCCACTTTTTTGATGCGTGAAATCTTTGCGTGGGGTACAAATCTGGTTGATTAAGAAGCTCTAGGCCTTTATAAAGCCTACCAACATTAATCTTTCTTTCGTCTTCGCTAAGAAGAAGTCGCCAATCAGTCGTTGCACCAGACATATTTATTTGTCCACCATTTGGAAAGTATGCCATTTTTTAAGGTGAAATAAATTCACTTGGAGAAATGGATAACTCTGAAGACCTTAATTTTTTCAATAGTTACAAAGGAAAAAAACGAACACTTGATTTTTATTAACAATGTTAGTAATAAGCGGAAAATAAAAAATTAAGGGTCCGCAATTTGTCTAGTTTACTTTATGTTTATACATACGCCAATGAGTCACTTTTGACTTCGCATACATATTACTTATTTTGAGTGACAAATTGATGTTTCTAACCTATTGAGGCAAAATGATCACCTGAAACAAGCTCTATTGAGAATGTTACAGTTGTCTTCTCTATATAAGTCTTTTTTCTAAAAGTGTACTTAGAAAGAGATTGTGTTTATAGAGGTTTTTTTAAAGTTAAATAAAATAATTGGTTCTCAATATAGAAGATTAGTTTTTTTAATAATGTGCGCTTATATAGAAAGATCAGTACAAACTAATAAAGTTCTATATGCAAGCAACAATACAATCTACCTCAACAATTACAAAATTCACAACCACAGCAATTACAGCAACAAATGCTAACACAGACTCTTCAACAGCAACA